AAGTTAAATCATTTTTTTTTGAAATACTTTATTATATTTGAGAGTTTCTTATATTAGGTATTTTTTGTACCGAGTCAATTATATTGAATAAATTATTTCAATAAATAAGGGATATTTTTTGTTACTCTTGAAGAGTGAATACTCAATAGCAATTATTCTACTAAATAATAATTTTGTAATATGGCTGAAGACGGAGAACAAAGGGTTATTCTTAATGTTGGTGGAGTAAAGGTAGAAGGAAATCTATACATCTATACGCATTTCTGAGCTTTTCTTTGTTCGTGATTAATAAATCATTCACACAATCTAGTACGAAACATATCGCTCGACGCTGACAGAATATCCAGAAACTTTACTTGGAGTAATGTTCAGCTCAAGAAATGAAGCATTATTGCATCCAACCAACAAAAACGAATATTTTTTTGACCGTAATGGGAAGACGTTTAATTATATAATGACATTTTACCGAACTGGAAAAATTCAGTAAGAATCTAGTTTATTTTTAATTTGTCTATGATATCGGTATAATTTTTTTCCTTTCTCTATTCTAATCAATTTTTCTTAAAAGTTATGAAAAAAATCCCTTGGTTACCGAATCAGAATTAAACGCAGAACTTGAATATTTTCAAATTCCGTCAACCGTAAACTATTTCGACTTTGACCTGGCCTACAAGGAAGTTGAAAAGCTTTTAAACAAATTTGTTGATTTGATTAAATCTATAGTTTTTGAAAATATTTGCGTTCTTGAACCAGACGTAAAAATCGGGTTTTATACTTTATACTGTAATTATAAGGAGACGGAGACTCGAATTTGTACAAATTTTGATATTCTCAATGACGTAACTAAAAAAGAGTTCATTCGATTTGAGGGTTTAGATGATAAGTGTTATATAGGATCTAAAATTCTAAAGGAATGTTATAACGAGATATATGCACATTTGGGCTGTGTGCTACCTGGGAAGGTATCAATTTTGTTTAAATATAGTTGCAGCGTAATAGTAGTGAAATCTTGTGTCGACTTCGATAAAGTATCATGCATGATAACGAATAAAAAAAACTAAAGGATCTTACAGAATATATAGTTTAGGTTGTTCGACTAGTAATGGACCCGTTATTACTATTAATTTCTTATATACTTTGTCTCTAAATTATTATATACATACACTTTATATATTTGGTTATTCGTTAAAATTTCACAATACGAAAAATTGATCACATAAATATGTCGAAATACATCTTTATTCAATGTGTACTGCTTTGTCATAGTGACAGGATCGGTGATTCTATTGAAATACAGTTTATAATTTTCCAAGATAGTATTTTTATCGTGCATTAGAGTCATACGCGTAATATTAACCTAAGTCACTCCGAATTTGCCATTTAATATGGTGTTCATTTATCAATAAAAAGTAGTTGCAAAAAACATTATAAATCTAATTAGATCTTATTTTTAAAGTTAACTTGAAGCTAGAAACGGTGCTTGTGCCGATCTTTGTTACTCTGACGAGATTTGCATTAGCCAATTAAACAAACTTCTGCCTATAAACGTTAGAGCAGTGTATGCGTCAGAGGGAGTGTCAAAGAGTAAGTGCCAAATTTTGTCGTAATAGGCTGAAGTATATGCAACAAAGTATATGTCGACCGAACGTCTATGTTACGCGAATTTTATAATCTCTAATTTCGCAAAGCTTTTAATAAATCGCTCAAATTTTCATTTACTGTATTTACGTGAGCAATACAATCAATCCCTTAAAGAATGGTAATAATTAAAATTTTTAATGAAACCGAACAACGTATATCTTGGGAACAAAAAATGCTATGATGACAATTTATAAAGTTTAAGAATTCCTGAAGAATAAACGAAACACCTGAAAGCTATCTTAGAAAATATCTTCGTACTGTACATTCATGATTTATTTCATTTCCCTTAGTGAATAACGAACAACGTAAAAACTAAATTGTTTAAATCATTTTCACAAGACACGGCTGGCTTTGATTAATAGTAAAGTTGGAACTTTTACACAACGATTAGGTCCAAAGGATCGGTATAAATAAATAGTATTTAAAGGCATTTGAGCAGTGAACAATGTTTTTCTTTTATAGCAAGCAATATGACAATTTATTTATTCAAACTAGCTCATACTGTATATTCCTTTTTTTTTTTTTTTTTTTTTAATGTTAAAGGTGAGACACTGTATATAATTAAAACGGTTTTATTTTATTTTTTTTTTAAAAAAAAAGCTACTGAACCATATTTATCCGTTAACAATAGTTCCTGAGAGAGGAAAATAAATGACGTTTAAGTATCAAGTAATAAAAAAATAAATAAGATAAAATAAATACGATAATAATAATAATTTAAACTTTTACCTCCATTAGGATGAAGAACCTATGTATAAAAAAAATGACCACGTTAATTCTAGTTTTTTTTACAAATTTAAAATATCAGTTCAGTATGCAACTAATTTACCTGGCCGGACATATAACTAGAATCGTTACTAGCGAGAAAAACGTAACAAGGTGCTACTTCTGTAAAAAAAAAAAAAAATTTTTTTTTACACATGTACACCAAATTCACAAGAATGTAATCAAATTTATAAAACAATCTCGTACCTGAAGGTTGACCTGCTCGACCAAAAGGTACTTCTTTTCCAAACTCATCCATCATTTCAGGAGGGAAACTTGCTTTGATCAGAGGTGTCCAAATCGGTCCTATAAGTAACGCGTAATTTATACAGTATTAATGTAACGAATGCGGTATTGCAACAAGTAAGCAGCAAAAAAACAATAGATTGTGAAATACCTGGAGCGACTGCATTAACGCGAATTCCTTTACTATTCAACTGAAGACTAAGTGATCTATTATTGCAATAAAATATTAGGTATTGCAGAAAGAAGAATTGACATTGCGTGAAGAATAATACCTTGTAAAGCCAACGATACCAGCCTATATAAATGATAACAGAAATTGTAAGATATAAAAATCATGTTGAGAATAAATTGTCGATAAGATACCTTCGTGATGGAGTAATCAAGCAACAGTTGATGACCTTTATAAGCAGTCACTGAAGTTGTATTGATGATGGTGCTAATAATAGATCAGTAACTTAGAATTTTATGCGTGTAATTTCTTTTTAACTTGTCAATACATACCTTCCTTTCTTCATGTGCTTAATTGCGTGCTTCGAAAGAAAAATCATTCCATAAAGATTTGACCTTTGAAGTATTGAATATTATTAATGTAAATCAAAATTTTCCAAAAAAAAAATTTCACAAACCTAAAAGTTCTTTCGAGTTGCTCTGCACTAAGATCTTCAATACTCCCACCCAAATGTTGTTCCGAAGCATTATTCACTAAAACATCAATTCTGCCCCATTTCTTAACCACAGTATCAATGATTTCAATCGCGTTTTCTTCACATCCAACATCCTTACAAATCAATTCCACATGTGTGTTTGATTGTTTTTCAATCCTTCGTTTAGTTTCTTGTGCGTCTTTTTCTTCACGTGGCAAATGTACGATTGCTATTCCCTCACAACCTTCGAGTGAGAATAAGGCAGCAACCGATCGACCAATGCCAGAATCACCTCCGGTAATAAGAGCAATTTTAGATTTTAATTTTCCACTGGCATGATATTCTTCGAGGTGTTCGCCGTCGGTAGGTAAATGATGAACGAGAGGTTGAGGTTTCATTTCATGATGCACGCCTTTTAGAAATTTTTATATTAAATGGTTTTTTTAACGCGTTTGAAAATTCCGAAATTTAAACGATTAGATAATATACAAACCAGGTTGTTCTTGCATCTCTTGCTTCGGAATATCCGAAACATCAGAAAGGCTTTTGGGTAATTCTTCCTTTGAACACATCGTGTAAACTTTGGAAATTATATCTTTTTGTGTATCCTTCCGCGAATCCTTTTATATTTGTCTCAGTTTTATTTTATTAACTTTTCATAGTATGGTATTTAGATCATCATTACAAACGAGCAAAATATCATAATGACATCATCACTAGGGTTGTAAAATTACCGTAATTTTGTGTAATTTTACGTAATTTAGTGTAAGTTTCCGAAACCAAAATTTTATGTAATTTTGATAACATGTGAATAATGTAGCTAATAATACTGGCAAAACTTTCATAATGTTGGTGCAATAATCATGTGCCAATCCATTATCAAATGTAATATTATTACATTACAATTTTGTAAGTTACAGTGTAAATGTAATTTATGCAATTTTCAACCCTAATCATCACATCTGAAAGTAGTCATTGTAACGGTACGTAATTTTTAACTAATAATGATATACGTGTAAATATGGTTTAATAATGAGTGAATACTGATGGTCATTATTTTTGTTGTTTATTATTGTATTTGATTCGATTGATTAGTAAGTCTTTAATGTTTTCATTCTTTTTTTTTTTTTGATTTCATTTAAATTGTGTTCATAAAATGATCGAGTTTGAGTTCTTGAAAAAAAATCGTGAAACGTAAATCTGATAATGATAATAATCGAAGAAAACAAAAGAGACGAAAGAACGTTTTGCCATGACTTTGGAATATCAGAACGAGGAACTTGACTCGAAGTCTATGGTTACCCACTGATGAGAATTTTTTCATGAGTCAGAAAAATGACCATTGTAAATGTGAATTTACCGAGACTAGTGGTGGTTCTTGGTTCACTGTGAATGCGCATTTGAGCGATTGTGGGTCTTTACGAAAATATTTCGTGTTTGATCGAGGATTATGAGATGAGTGATGATGATGATATCGAGTTGAAGACCAAGAGGATTCGAATGTATCCCACACCAGATGAGGCAAAAGTGTTGAGTTTGTGGTTGAATGGTGCCCGATGGACTTACAATCGGGTGGTCGAGATGCATCAGCATGACGGGTTCAGATCTTTCAAGACCATCAAAAATTTCTCGTTGAAGAACGATTACATTAAGCAGTATCCCGAAATTTATTGGTTGCTAAAGGTGCCTTACGAGGTACGTTCATACGCGATATGTCAGTACAAGAAAGCCTTTGAGATTCGATTGAAAAGTTAGTTGGAATCTGGTGAGAAGCGCAAGGATTTCAAGATGCATTTTCGAAGCAGGAAGCGGGATCATGTCCAGTCTATGATGGTGTTGGGTCGTGATTTCAATCGTGAGAAAGGAGCGTACGCCTTCTTGAAGAATATTGTTTATGCTGAGAAATTACCTAAGGTCAATAATTCGGTCGTGATCACGTTGGACAAGGCTGGAAGGTTTCATATACACGTTTCCGTGCCGTTGGAGGACCGCGAGAATCAAGCGAGAATCAGCGGTACGATCGTTGCGCTGGATCCTGGCATGCGAACGTTCATGACATGCCACGATCCACGGGGTCGAGTGGTTGAATGGGGTAATCGAGATTTCGCGAGGATCGTTCGGTTGAATAAGAAGTTGGATAAGATGCAAGGTGAATTAAAAAAGAACCTGAATGTAAGCGAACCCGGTATCGATTGCGCAAGAAGATGGCGAGATTCAGGAACAAGATTCGCAACCTTATCGATGAGCTGCATCGTAAGCTCGCGAGATGGTTGTGCGAACGTTACCAGACCATCCTCATTCCCAAGTTTGAGACGAGCCAGATGATCAGGAGGATGGATCGCAAGATAAAGACCAAGACCGCACGCGCGATGGTGACCTGGGCTCATGGTCGGTTTCGAGATTTTTTGAAACATAAGGCGTCCGAATATTTCGATCGTAACGTTGTGATATGCACTATAGGTGCAGAAATATAGTGGTGCCATAACTGATCGTAACGTTGTGATATGCACTATAGGTGCAGAAATATAGTGGTGCCATAACTGATCGTAACGTCAATTGGACATAACTCAATATTGTAATGATACGTCAAAAAGTCATAACTGATATTTGCCATAACACTTGGCATGATTATAATATTCGACGTGTCGCAATATTTGAAGTGTGCTGTAGTATTTGATGTATGCCACAAAGTTTGAAGTATGCTATAACGGTAATAGTTTGTATCTCAACATTTAAGTTTTTTAACATTTAATATATATTGTGATATCTGACTTCTACCGAATAATCTGGGTTCCCAAACATTGACATACTGTAGATTTTATTATCTTTTATTTATACATTGACTTTAAATGTTATTTAATTTGTTTTTTAAATCTTTCTAATGTTTTATGTGAATATGTATAATAGCAAAAAAATACATTATAATTTTGATTTTTTAATGTTTTTGTAAATATGCATAATAGCAAGAAAAATACATTATAAATTCTTTTTTTTTTTTTTTGATTTATCATTCCTTATTTAATCTTTGACATTTTATTCATTTACAAGTTTCAACAGCAGAATTTAGATTTTGATAATCAAATATTTCTCCTGAGTTTTTGAGTTCAAGTTTTACTCTTCATTTTATAAATTCAAACTATTGTGTATTTGCATTAGGATGCTATGATTTTGCTTTATTGCTGGGTAAATTTGACCGATACTTTAAAATGAATAAATTTTAAAAACAATTAATTTAAATTAAATATTATAAAATAATATTATTATAAGTTACCTAATCATTTAAATCAGTATTCAAAACTGAGTTGACAAGATTCTCCGGATTAAAATCTATATTATACTATTGCTGCTTTCAATGCTATGATTAGAACACAAATTTTCATATAGTTCAATATCTCTTTCTTGGAAGATCGGGTCCCTTAAATTAACTATTTCTTCCAAAACTAAATTAGTTCGGGTTGATAAAGTTTCATTATTATTACTTTTATATTTTTCATTTTCTTCTTCCTCTGCAATAAAATTATTAATTGAAGCAAGGTTAATCATTTCACACAATTTAGATTTAGTTAACTCATCTTCAAAATGGGTAAGTTCATTTCGTATATTTGTTAAGTAATATGATCTAATTTTTGCCATTGTATCAAGTTTTGTAATATCAAGACATGTATGTTTGTCTTCAATAAACCACTTTAAAATGGAAAATTTTTTTTTACAATTAGCTTGAGATGGTGAAATACTAAAAAGTCTTTGTGCAAGTTCTGAGAGATGATGTGGTTTACTTTTTGATAATTCTCACCATAATATTGAAATATCAAGATCTTGAATATAAAATAAAATAAATAGCTTTTTTTTAGCATCATAATAACAAAATAATGAAATTAGCTCTTTATATTCTTGCTTTGGATGCCTTAAATTTTTCCATAAGGTTGAGGCAGTTATGGCAGCATCACAAAATGCCTTATCCTTAAAACCAATTTCTAACAAAAAAAATATGTAAGTATATAAAATAATAATAATATAAAAAAAAAAATTATATATAATTGTATTATAGTAAAGTGGATGGAGATAGTAACACAAAAGATAACATGGATACTGAAACTCTATATAATGTTGATTAAATATTTTAATCATAGCAGGTTTGAATGAGTTAGATTTAGGAATTTGATAAAGTG